CCCTACCCCTTGCTCCTACCCAACTCTCAAGTTCCACGTTTCCTAACATGGTTCACAAAACAACGAGCATACCTCTCATGTAAAAGTGATTAAGATATATAGATTCCCCAGCCAAATGGTGGGGTCTGCTCATTCTCTCCTACTTTTTATATGTACTATGCTTCTCAAATGTGAACCTTTCCACGCGCGATTGTTTGTATATAATGTTCATATGTTAAAACCTTTAAATAAAAATCCATTTGAAATAAACACACTTTAACTGTCAAAGATTTCCAGCACCCTAATACATGTTGTTGATACTTGTTTAGTACAGCAAAGTGTTGTGGGTTCAAAGAAGAGTCTCATGATCCCACCACAATAATATGCAAAATAATGTTGCTTCTCCCTGAATGCGTGGTCTGCACAGCATATCCAAATACCTATATTGTTTTCAAAATTTCCCCCTTGTGGTCCATACATTCTCTACACAGTAGCATACAAATTCAGTTATGTTTTACCCCTCACACCTGACTGTTTACCTATCCCTGATGGTTAACCTCTTCTTAAAGTGGAACTTTACCCATAACAACTTGATAAAAAATAATGTTCTTTAGCAAGGAGCCTACCTTCCACAATATTAATTGTACTACCAAAATGAGTGTGTGCTGTAAATTTCCTCTAGCGTTGTTCCTGTTTCTTCATGCTGGAGGCCGACATTTTGCTGAAGCCCAGAGCCCCTGAGCGGTAGTGAATCATTTGGATCTCAGCAGATCGGCTTCTACATTTTTGGTATGGTGCTGTAAAATAGAGAACCACTGAGCATGTGCAGAGCAGGATGAGACTGTGCATTACTGGATTTGAACTAGTATAGGCACTTCTTTTTTTAATGTTTTACATTGCTATACCTGCAAAAGGGGCCAGCCTGAAGTGATCTAGCAGGACTTTTCTTTCTGACAAAAGTTCCACTTTAAATCTGCAGTGTGGGTTTTCTGTCACTTTAAATAGCTCATTTGGGCCAAACTGGAGCAGATGAACTATTTCCATTACTAAGTGATTCGGCGGCTGTGTGCGCTGTATCATACTATAGTACCATCAGCTACATACAGTATAGCAGCGCTATGTTCCACTGCAGTATGACTGATTTCCCATCTGCTGCTAGAACGAAATTGATTCAGGAGAAACCTTTTATTTTTTTATCCGTGAATATAAGGCTTTTTCTGATTAGCCAAGGTGGAGAGGCAAGTGGATGAAGTCAAAATCTCCAGTTGTCCATACTCATTAGAAACACAGCACCGCTATTACTGTATGTTGCCCAGCTGTCCTAAACAGCATTTTGATGAAAAAAGAATCCTTGACGCATGTAAAATACATCTAGATGCATTTAGGCCTATCAAGCACTTCAACATTAATTCATTTAATCGGCAGGAATAATAATTCATTCTGGCCATTGAAAAGAATTAATGGACTGACATGAATGTACAATATACAGTTGTGTTCAAAATAATAGCAGTCAGACATCACTAACCTGATCAATCACTGTTTTTGGTAGAAATGATATTTCTTTATGGCAAATAATTTACTAGCAGGTGTAGTAGAGTAATAGAAGTCCAACAGACCCAACAGTCATGACATGCATGCTGCTGATTCTGTGTAATTGAATCACTCATTGAAAGGGCATGTTCAAAATAATAGCAGTGTGGAGTTCTATTAGTGAGGTCATTTATTCTTTGAAAAACAGGTGGCAATTATTGCCCTTATTTAAGGAAGTAAGGCAGCAAATGTTGTACATGCTGGTTACAATGCATTTCTCTCTGAAATTCTGAGGAAAATGGGTTGTTCCAGACATTGTTCAGACATTGTTCAGCGTACCTTGATTAAAAAAGTTGATTGGAGAGAGGAAAACATACAAAGAAGTGCAGAAAATGATAGGCTGCTCAGCTAAAATGATAGCAAATGCTTTAAATTGGCAACCAAAACCTGAAAGACGTGGAAGAAAGCGAAAAACTACCATTCGAATGGATAGAAGAATAGCCAAAATGGCGCGGACTCCGCCAACAATCAGCTCCAGGAAGATCAAGGAAGGTGTAAAGTTCCCTGTGAGTTCTGTTACAATTAGAAGACGCCTATGTGAAGCCAAGCTATCTGCAAGAAGCCCCCGCAAAGTCCCACTGTTGAAAAAAAGACGTGTGCTGAAGAGGTTTTACAATTTGCCAAAGAGCACATTGACTGGCCTAAAGAGAAATGGAGCAACATTTTGTGGACTGATGAAAGTAAGATTGTTCTTTTGGGTCTAGTGGGCGGAGACAGTTTGTCAGACATCCCCCAAACACTGAATTGAAGTACACTGTGAAGACAGTGAAGCATGGTGGTGCAAGCATCGTGATATGGGGATGTTTCTCATACTACGGTGTTGGGCCTAGTTATCGTATACCAGGGGATCATGGATCAGTTTTAATACATCAGAATACTTTGAAGAGGTCATGCTGCCTTATGCTGAAGAGGAAATGCCCTTGAAATTGGTGTTCCAACAAGACAACGATCCCGAACACACCAGTAAACGTGCAACATCTTGTTTCCAGACCGACAAGATTGACGTTATGGAGTGGCCAGCCCAATCCCCGGATCTTAATCCAATAGAAAACTTGTGGGGTGACATCAAAAATGCAGTTTCTGAGGCAAAACCAAGAAATAGAGAAGAACTGTGGAATGTAGTCCAATCATCCTGGGCTGGAATACCTGTTCACAGGTGCCAGAAGTTGGGTGACTCCATGCAACACAGATGTACAGCAGTTCTCAGAAACAGTGCGACTACAACCAAATATTCATTAAGTGATTCAAAGGAAAGCAAAATCTTCAAACATTTTTCAGTTTATATAGTGAATGTTTGAGTTTGTAAAGAAGAATACAAACACTGCGATTTTTTTTTGAACAGTCTAATATTCACTTTTCTTCATTTTTTATAGAGGAACAACACAAATTTGATCTATTTTTCTTCATGTTTTGATTTGGAATAGAATGTGTAGTGTTCCCAATGCTATTAGAAGGATTTTGAGCTTTAATCACTTTTTCAACACACTGCTATTATTTTGAACACAACTGTATATGTAAAGCGCTGTGTAAATTAATGGTGCTATATAAAAATTTGTAATAAATAAAATTTACACTCAAGCGCTTCATGCTCCTAGTGTTATTGTGTGCGTAGATGCATTTATACATGATTAAATGTCTGCCAAAAATGCTGCTCTTCCTGAACTCGCTAGCAGTGGGGGGTTTTCTGCCTCTAAACACCTCGAAACACTTATGTGCGCATGGATACACAGGCTAACATGGAGAGGCATTTAGAGACAGAAAAAAAATGCCAGACACCCCTAAAAGCAGAATTTTTTAATACCTAGTGTGCATGAGGATTGAAAGACTCAGGACCTGATGCTCAGCATGACCATAGATTCAGGTGAGTATAAGGGACTTTTAGCTGTAATTTCCCTTTTAACTTAGGGACAACAAGTGAAGAACGATCTCTCAAACAGGACATACACAGCAAATATAGATATAATATGGATGAAGCTGGGGTGGGGCCAGTGGGGTATTCTAGGTTTTGTGCTGCCCTAGGCAACACAAAAATGGCCACCCCCCCCCCACAGAGAGAGCCTGACATTTAGCAACAACACCCCTGCCCCCCACCAGAGAGAGCCTTCCACTACCACTGTCCCCCAACACAAGCCACTATCCCCCATAGTGAGGGAGAGAGACACTCATCTTCACAGCTCTGGACATCCCCAGGAACGAGAGTCGGCCTGTGCATACACCGTCATGAAACCCGCAGCCTCTCTCTGAACCCACCAGGTCCCCATGCTGCATGTGTCCCTTCTTCTGTCTCTTCTTCCGTCCCTTCTTCCAAGGGGTAGTGCTGCCCCCCATGAAAAATGCCGCTCTAGGCAAATGCCTTGTTTGCCTTGTGGTAAATACACCCCTTGGTGGGGTGTTGACATGGCATTTCACAAGTCATCAAAAGGCAGACTAAATCAATACTTGGGCCTGATGGCTTGTGTACAGCAGCTGACCTCAGATAAGGGGACCACTAAAAAGGTTCACCTGGATCAAGACATTTAAGTGAAACAGGTTTATTAGAGCACCAAACAAAATCCTTGAGAGCCCCAAATCTTTAATTCTTCAACTGACTACAATAGGAAGAGCGAAGGACATGCAACACGTTTTGGGGGCCACAGACTCCCCCCATCATCACAGATCAGTGAAATGACAGAATGTTAAATGGACTTAAAAATACTCCTAAACAGACTGATCTGTGGACAGAGAATATCATAAACAAGAGTCAGTGCTTGTCTGGGCAGAAATGGAGGTGAGGCACTGGACATGAATTTTCACAAGCCATCAAAAGACAGACTAAATCACTGCCTAAGCCTGACGCCTTGTGTACAACAGCTCACCACAAGGAAGGGGACTCCCCTGGAAAGAAGGTTCCCCCAAATTGAGAAGTCCAAGTGAAACAGATTGAGAACTCCAAAAAGAAAACATTGAGGGTCCAAAATCCTTTATTGTTCAACTGGTTACAACAGGAAGAGCTAAGGACATCCAACATGTTTCGGGGCCATAAACTCCCCTTCATCAGGGCTCAGTGAAATTGCAAAATGTTAAAAGGATTTAAAAATACTCCTAAACAGACTGATCTGTGGATAGAGAATATTATAAACAGTCAGTGTTGGTCTTCACAGCAAAAATGTAAAAGAAAAACCCTAACGTTGTCTTTAATCTTTCTCTATTCTAACTATATATATGTTTAGGTGTTACATACACGTTAGTAAATGGGCAAAATAAATATGCATATTGATTTTTGTTTTCAATATTTGCAAAGTATTCAACTATAACATTTTATTCCAGGTGACAAAAATACATCAAACATTTTATTAGGGAATGTTTTAATTCAAACACACATACAGAGAATTTCATAGTGCACATAGCTTTCTGAGTGCTTAGTTTTCTATGGCGGCAAATACCGAATGTAATTAACAGAGATAATAAAATAAACTTGACGATAACAACAGGGTCAGAATCTTGGAGAATGCCGCTTCCGTTTTGTCACCTCTGTTCTTGTCTTGCACAAATAGGGCTGGATTTGTTTGGGCCTCTAAAACAAGAAAAAAATATTTGATGAAAAGGAAGATAAAAACATAATTGCTACTAATTACCTTTGCACTTCCAGTTCCAGATAGCACGTACAGTATTTTTTTTACTTATTATGTAGTTTTTATGGTATTTTGGAAGTGCGATAGGCCCCACCTCCAACTCATGTATGTCTTTTAATGTGTAAACTATCATACGAGCTGTAAGGCCTCATGCACATGGATGCAGCTCCTGTGGAAGGTGTAAAATCCCTGGCGTAATGTGGCTCATTTGGGAAGAAGTCCCATGCATGCTTGCATGGATGAATACAGATGCAGAAGTCATCTGCATTTATCCAAGCATGGGCCTGTACCAGGGGCGGACTAACAACTCATGGGCCCCCCGGGCAATAGGGGATCATGGGGCCCCTGTGTCCTTGCCCAAACTCAAAAACGCCTCTGAAAAAGGTACCAGGGGCATCTCATGGGGCACCCTACTGACCCCGGGCCCTCGGGCAGTGCCCGAGTTTCCAAATGGTCAGTCCGCCCCTGGCCTGTACAACTATTCACTTATATCGGCATCTGTACATGACATGTGGGGCTCCCGGATGCCAGAAAGCACTGGGGATTTTACAAGCTACTAAGCATCTGTGTGCATGAGACCTAAAAAGTCTATATTATAGTGATTACCTGAAGAAGAGCACACGGCAAGTTAACAATGCTGCTGTCAATTGTGATGCAATGGCTTGGCATTGTCCACCACAGCAGGAAGAGCTGGCAGGATCTTCAGGTAAGAAATAGAATAGATACCCAGAAAAAACGATTTTCCCAGGGATGGTGCTACCACTAGACAAACTAGGTAGTCGCCTAGGGTGCACTGCCACCTATGGCGCAGCCATGGCCACACTGGTTTTCCTACCCTTTGCCATGGCCAGATCTAGGGGGGTGCTGGGGTAGGCTACGCCTCCCTAGATTTTAGTTGTGCCCGCCTCCCCCCCCAGGCCAGTCTTTCCATGGACACTGTGCCTTGCTGCTGAGGGCCTTCCCACATCTCCGCCCTCATGGCTAGGGCAAGGGGAGAGCAGCCTGGAGGAGTGAAGCCTGAAGAAGAGGTATTTGTGCAAAAGGGGAGGGGGGGGGGGATTTGGGTAAGGTGGGAGGATTTTATGTTGGGAAGGGTAATTTTAGAGGGGTTTTAGCTAGAGGAAGGATATGGGGGAATTTGTCCTAGGTGGGGGGATTGAAGAAAGAGGATTGGTGCTGGGAGGGGGGGATTTGTACTAGAAGGGAGATTAGGGGGGAATTTTGTTAGGAACGGGGATTGATAGGGGTCTGGTTAGGAGGGGGGATTGGGGGGGGGATTTTGTGCTAAAAGGGAGGATTGTGGGGGCTTATGTTAGGAGGGGGGAATTGGTACTAGTAGGGGGGATTAGGGAGAATTTGTGCTAGGAGAGGGGATTGGGGGGTGGGGTGGGGGTAATTTGTGTTAGGAGGGGGGATTGGGGGGTGGGGTGGGGGTAATTTGTGTTAGGAGGGGGGATGGGGGGATTGTGCTAGGAGATGGGATTGGATGGGGGGAATTTGTCTTAGGAGGGGGGGATGGGGAAATTGTGCTAGGAGGGGGATTGGAAGGGGTTGTGCTTGGAGGGGGGATTTGGGTGGGGAGGAAGTATTAGTGCGGGAAGGTGATTTGAAGGGGATTGTGCTAGGAGGAGGAATTTAGGGGGAGTTGTACTATGGGGGGGGGGGGGGGTTTATGCTAGGCGAGGTGATTTGGGGGAGAGGATTTGTGCTAGGGTGGAACATTTGAGGGAAAGAGGATGTGTGCTAGGAGGGGTGAAGCAGGACTACAGGTGAAGTTTTGTTTTTTTGGTGGGGGGGGGGAGAGGGGGAAGGGTGCAAGTAGCAGGTCTTGACTAGGGTCTAGCACTGGCCCTGGATTTGTCTAAAGTGGAGCTAAACTAAAAAACTGAAGATTTGCTGTGTTACAAGGAGCTTATAATTCTTAGCTAGGCCCTGAAAAAGCTACCTCTTGTTTCAAATTCCTCTTGAAAACTAGCATTGTACTTCCAGGTATGTGCAGGTGCCTAGGCATTCCTGTGCCGACAGCCTCACAGGTTTATCTACAGTGTGAGATCTGAGGAGCCATGCATACCATTGCACTGCATTAGCACATGTGTGTAATGATGAGGCAGCTCATTCAATTGAGCAATTAACAGCCAACCCACTAGAACGCACCAAAAAAAGGTGCATGCAGGACTATTGGTAGTAAAATGCAATGCATAATTAGCGGGCCTGCATCACACCCACAAGCATAACGCATGTTACTGCATGAAGATGGTGTGTACGGGTCATGGTGCCTTTGTTTGCTGTTCTAAAGAAGTAACAGATTTGGTGATGCCTCTACTGTGCTGCTCACTGTTCTCTTTGCTGGAGGCTCTAACATGTGGAAGCAAAACCCTGCCCTATCAAGTTGGCTGCCTCTACAAAAGTCATTAATGGGGAATAGATCAGCAGCAGGAAGAGCACAAGAAATACTGGTGACTAGTCCTTTGCCCTCTGCCTGACTTTTTTTGGGCCCTGCTTTTAGTGTTCAGTTCCTCTTTAAGAAAATTGCATAGAATGAAGCATGATGTCAAACATACTGGGAAAATAGAATTTGGATTCACATACACATTTAGACTTGGTTCACACTATTGCAGGCCATGCAACCCGCATTTGCTCGGTCACAGCAGATCATTCATTTAAATAGGATGCTGTGCCCGCGTTTTCTGCACAAAAAAAGGTCCACGCGCCTTTTTGAAAACATATCTACTGCTAAACCATGCGTTTTTCTTGCGGTTCCTGCACCTACAATTGCGCTGCGGGCTGAGATGCGTGGGGTGACATTCAGAATAAGGCAGCTCCAAGCGTCTGGTATAAGCAGCGCAGTTCAGCTGCGGGTAGTTGCACCTGTGGGAACTGATGTGATTCCCGCACCCACAACCAGCTTCCATAATGTGAACCGAGCCTTAAAGCCCGGTCATACCGGTACGATTTCAGGTGCGATTTGCGAATTGAAATCGCATCTAATGAATGTGTCCTAGCATGTGCAATTTGCTGCAGCGTGATTTCTAAAGTAGTTCTCGCATTACTTTTTCTGCAGTTTTGTTGCGATTTCACATATATAGAATATAATGGAAATCGCACTGCAAATTGCAAGAAATCGTTGAAAATCTTCACAAGTAGCAATAAAGTCTTGAAAAAATCGCACCTGAAATTGCATACAAATTGCATGATTTTAAAATGCAGTGGTGTCACCGGTGACTTATCCTTCTCACTAGATAGGCTCTGACTATGGAGGCAGAAAACAGCCCTGGCTCCAAAGGAGTTAAACTAAAAAAGGAAACTGAAGACTCACCTATCTCTTCCCTGCCCACAACAATTCTCTGTTGCAGTGTCTTGATCCCATGCTTGTTCTGTGCTATGCAGATGTAGAAGCCTTCATGGGCGCTGGTCACCTCCTTGATCTGTATAGTCCTGTTGTCATGAAAGAATGTGACATGAGGCGTCTGAGGGTGCCAGCTATAGGTCGGAGCGGGTACTGCATCTGTGCCTCACAAGTCAGTGATATATTTGCCCCTTCCAGCACAGTCATGGAGGGCTCCACGACAATGCTCAGTATTTTAGGCTCATCTGAAAGAAAACAAAACAGCACAAAGTTATTAACTGATAAAAAAAAATCATTGTCCATTGTTGCAAGACAGACGTTTACCACTTTCCCACAGCTCGCCTGCATTGTACTGTGGATGGACGGCCGCTGTAGGCAGATCGACGTACCGTTAATTGTACACAGCGGGAGCCTGTCAGCAAGTCCTGGGACCTGCTGATTGGCTGTGTACAGTCACAACACAGAGCTCTGTACTGACATTCTAAACAGGGCTAAGTACAGAGGGAAAGATCTGTCAGTTTTTCATCCCTGCACCTATAGTTAGGCACACATTTAACCCTTTGATCGCCCTAGATGTCAATCCCTTTCCAGCCAGTGTCATAGGTACAGTGAAAAGTGAAAATGTAAAGTATTATCACTGATCACTGTATTAATGTCACTGGTGTTTCCAGTGGCAGTTAGTCAGTGTCAGTTAGTGTCAGATTGCCCTCCACACTCCTGCAGCTCCATTATAAATTAATAATCGCTGCCATTAGTAGTATAAAAAAAAATCCAGTATATATACCATAGTTTATAGGCGCTATAACTTTCACACAAACCAATCAGTATACACATTTTAGGATTTTTTTTAATCAAAGACATTTTGGCCAAAATTTATAAAGAAATTAGATTTTTTTAATTTTTTTTATTGAAAATGTCTTATACCAGAAAGTAAAAAATACTGGGTTTTTTTTTCAAAATTTTCATTCTTTATTCATTTATATCACAAAAAATAAAAAGTGGTGATCAAATGCCACCAAAAACAAAAGCATGACCGCGCAATTACCACTTAAAGTAGTGCAGTGCTAGTCATGAAGGGGATAAAATCTTCTGGAGCGGAAGTGGTTAAAAATTCATTTATGAGGGTGCTTTGCATTTTGTCTATTAATTATTTCCGACAGGTTTCTTTCCTTACAGCTTGTAAAGAACCCAGTACCAAGCATTTTTTTTCATATTGTCACGTGGCATGCATAGCAGAGCCTATTCATTTGAATGTGCTGCCTTATATGCAACAAACGTTCCAAAAACATATGTCTGCTGCCTGCGTTCTACGTTTTGTACTATTAACAATGTATGCCACTGCAAGCCTGATGCGTGCTTTTCACGCGTTCCATAAATGAGTGCAAAAATGTACACTTTAGCATGCATTTACAGAGTGCGCAGATGTGAATGAAGCACATTTTTAGTGCATTTTACATGTTTTACCTGTATTTTTCCATGCATGTTCAAGCATTTTTCTCTTGCATTTTCATGCTTTTCCGTATTTGTTAACCTCCCTAGCGGTCTGATTATGTCAGTATTTCTGTGCTCAAAGTGGTACATTTTTTTGCATGGAAATATGTAGTTTTTTATTGTAGGCTGTAATTTTTAGGAATAACTCACTGAAATCTGTCTGAACAAGAGTCTAGTAAACATCCCGGGTATGATAAAATTTGAAACACGAAATCATAAATTATAATTTAATAAATATTCATAAAAAATAATAATATAATAATAATAAATTTAATTCAATAATATAATCAAACCAAAAACACTGAAATTTGAAATAGAGCGCCAAGTTCGCACATCGCTGAGCAAAGTCGCAGAATCGTTTTCAGTGTCTGATGACGAATTTCCTCCACGAATCATTATCACTCAATTCTGCAAGTGGTTCTGATTTACTCCAAAACATCAATATAAAAATGGGTGCAGCGCTAACACCCATTTTTATATTGATATTTTGGAGGGTCTTTTTGGTACCTTTTGGTGTTTTCAGCAGCTTAGTTGGATTTTAGCGCTCACTTACCTCTCTGTGCTTTCTAGTTATAATTTACTATCGCTGTTCTCTAGCTGGTCTAAAACCGCTTTTGACCTAAAGGGACGCTTTTTGGATGCCATGGACTTTTCTCAGTTTCCAGGTAGAAAGAACAGTAAAAATGCAGGCAGGGCGCTGGACAAAGCACTCGGGACAAAATGTATGTAAAATGGTTTGATACAGGAATGTTTTACTATGTGATTTTAGTGAATGTCAATTTTTCACATTTTAAAATTTCCCGCCAGTTCCGTCCCCCGTACGTCCTGACGTTGCAGGGAACGGAACCCAGAAGATGGATGCCGGCATTGGCCGGAGGACATTACCGGGGATGCTGCAGGAGGGACATCGCGGGAGCGCAGGACAAGGTAAGTGAAAAAGGGATCCCGGAGCAACGCTGCATGGTATTCCTGAGTGTAGCTCGGGGTTACCGCTTGTGGTACTGAAACTTTACCCCGAGCTACACTCAGGAATACCGCCAGGGAGGTTAATGGAACAGAAAAACGCAGATAAATGCATAAAACATCAAACATGCCTCATTTTTTACAATGCAACATGCAGATGTGAATTACCTCATTGGAAGGGTTGATTTACTAAAGACAAATAGATTGTGAACTTTGTAAAGTGCAGTTGATCTCTGCAAGTGCAGCTTCTCCAGAGCTTAGTAAATGAAGTGAAGCTTTACTTTGCAAAGAATACCCAATCAAATGCAAGAAAATAAAAAAACAGCACTTTTGCTTGCACATGATCGGACGATGGCACTCAACAGAGCTTCTGCTCATTTACTAAGGCTAGGTTCACACCTTTGCAGTTTGCATTTAATCCGTTTCTGCGGTGCATTTTGCGTTTATGCACATGTTTTTGATGAGTTTTGCTTTTTTTTTTCTTGCTGCTGGGCAGATTAAAATGCAAAACGCATCAAAAACGCACTACATGCTTTTCTGCAGCATCTCCATTGAAGTCTATAGAACCAAAAATGCAACTTTTTGCATTTAAAAAAGTCCCTGACCTTTTCCAAAAAAAAACACACCGGGTGAAAACGCAGAGATATGAACGTTTCCCATAGGAAATCATGCTAAATGGACTGTAGTATGTTTCTGCAAAACGCTGCAGAAAACGCTTAGGTGTGAACCTAGAGTAAGCTCTGGAGCAACTGCACTTCGCAAAGTGCACAGTCTATTTGCCTTTAGTAAATCAACCCCACTGTATTTTCATGACACATGCCGTTTTATGTGTTGCAAAACACACATAAAAGCACACAGGTGTGATCCAGCTAATCAATCAGATTTCAGAACAGTAGAGGATCAATTCTGATTGGTTGTTATGGGCAGGGCTGTGCTCCTGTATGGGGCCCATGTTAGCAGGGGTGCCCAGGCAGCTTGATGAATGGGATGTGGGCAGGGAGGGTGATTGTCATGGCGGAGGGAGCAGTTACTGGAAATGATCCCCTGTATGGCTCTTTCTGCAGAAACTGAAAGCTGGCTTCTTCTCCTCCCCCTCCCGCCACACCGATCACCCTCCCTGTGCACCATATGTTTCCACCTTCTGCCCAGGACCCCTGTATGCCCCCCTTACCCCTGCAGTGCTGCCAGCTTCCCTCCTCTCCTTCCCAGCAGCTGCAAGTACACAATATGATCCTTCAGGATGGAGAGTGAGGGAAGGGTCCAGTAAATATGTCAAATTTACCAGCTACTTGCTTTTCAGAATGAACACAATGAGTGATTGGTACAGATCACTCACTGTATTCATTCATAACTAAAGCACTGTAAACTATGTTTAATTGGGAGGGCCCTGTGGTTTCTAACAGCAGCCCTGGTTATGGGTTACTACATTTTGGCTTATCGTATAAATTATTTGGGTGCCTGTGTTCCCTTTAGTATGAGCTTAATAGAGCTCAAATTTTTATTTCAGGTATTTATATAGCGCCCTCAATTTACGCAGCACTTTACATATATATTGTACAGTCACATCAGTCCCTAACCCTCAAGGGGTGTACAATCTAAGGTCCCTAACTTACATTCATATACTAGGGCCAATTTAGACAGGAGCCAATTAACCTACCAGCATGTTTTTGGAGTGTGGGAGGAAGCCCTTCACAGGCAGAATATGCAAACTCCAGGCAGGTGGTGCCGTGGTTGGGATTGAAACAATGACCCTAGTACTGCCAGGCTGAAGTGCTAACCATTTAGCCACTGTGCTGCATTTTTTTTTTTTAGTTTTGATCCCTACGCAGTTTAGATTGCTTCTTCAGCACCTTGATAAACATCAGCAGTCACTCTTATATAATGTGGTGAGCAGAGGCGGACTGACAACTCATGGGGCCCCCGGGCAATAGGGGATCATGGGGCCCCTGTGTCCTTGCCCAAACTCAAAAAAGCCTATGAAAAAGGTACCGGGGGCATCTCATGGGGCCCCCTACTGACCCTGGGCCCTCGGGCAGTGCCCGAGTTTCCAAATGGTCAGTCAGCCCCTGGTGGTGAGCTAAAGTTCATCCTGGCAGATATAAAAGCTGCCAAACAATTGAAGTAACTGCAGAATGTCAAAAGACATCTGAGACTAACTGCCATAAATGCTCTGAAACATCTCTTCAGCAGGGGCGGACTGACAAATGGTCAGCCCGCCCCTGCTCTTCAGCAATGAATACAGTTGGGAATGTATTTTTGGGTTTACTGAGAAAAAGCCCAAGTTTGTCTTAAATAAATGGCAGACTTGGCTCCATGAGAGTCATATACATAATATATCTCTAGCAGTCTGTAGAATGAAGCTGGGCCCAGATTCAGGCTAGGTTCACACTGCTGCGATCCAATTTTGATCCAACTTTTAGTGCGAGTTTGTAGTACAGCTTGGATGTACTTGGATGTGGTTTGCATATTCTATGGGGCCACATTGGCACTGAAATCGCACCAAAGTAGTCCAGGAACCTATTCCAAAATCACTTTGTGATGAGTTGCTTTTGGGCACCATTGAATACATTGTGATTTCCATTGTCATGCGGTTCTGTGCGACTCAAGCAAAAGAGCTGAATTAAAACCTCCTATAAACCATGTGCTTTTTTCATGCACAATTGCAGAGAAGATTTGTGAGCTGCAACACCAAAACGTCACGGCTCAGCAGCTGCAGAGTGGGACCCTTAGGGCTCATGTGCACTGCAGCTGATAAACTGACGTTCAGCAGCCCCTGAACTCTCCCTAATGT